GTTTTTTTTAATTGGCTAGGGTGACAAACGAGTACACAGTCTACCTGATGGTAAGTGGTTGCTGTGACATTTATCCTCAGTAAAGAATCAAAATGCAGATGCGTCGTCACCGGTGAGGAATAAGATGGAATGCCTCTTTTCCAGTAAAATGGGTCTCCGGTTCTCTATACTCACCATACGAAACACAGCAGTGTCAAACTGCTATTTTACGCTGGTATTCTGTGAGAGCATGGTCCTTCCCCGGTCGAGCCGACCCATTCGTGCTACAACTATACTACTAATATCGCTGCAGCAAGACTCTACCACGTATAAAATTGTTAATTGCAATTTTAAGTACTGATTTACCACGTGCTCTTTGGTGAAGGAAAACATCGTGAGTTCGTGAGGAAGAGTGCATGTCTGAGAAATTAAAAAAAGTATTTCGAATACATCATTTGAAGTTCTCCACCTCCAACACGCATTGAGGCAGCGCGGTGAACATTTTCTTGCCCTCTCAGATATGAGAAGGAGCCGTACGTTGCAGTAGTACCTCGCCTATTTACGACGAAATAGGCAGTAATTTTACTCTCAGAGTAAAATTACAGCCTATTTACTCTTGTAATTTTACTAAGATATTATTAGCAGTAGATAATTATGCTTATTTTAAATGTTGATATCTACATGAAAAATTATAGAGCACGTAATACTACCGCTTTCTTTAACATTAAAAGTCTACAGGTTTAAAAAAAATCAAACAGTCAAACACCGTAACGAGAATACGCATAAACTTGCGTGTTCCGTTCCAAGCAATCAACGAGCCACAAAATATCGGAACCGGATACAACTATTACATAAATACGAAACACAGACTCGAGTGTATGTCAATTAAATGCAATAGGGACGTATTACGTATGAGTGAACATTTTATCGAATTTCGTAACATCGTTTTTTGATAAACAATTACAGCTTACGTAATAACCAAAAGTGGCATAATTAAGCTAACTCAACCATTTGGTAGATGTTGATTCTGTGGATGCTGTGTAAATATAAATGTACGAGTACGTCGTCGAAATAGAAAACGTCGCGAATAAAAGTATCTTTAAAAGATGATAACTACCATTATACTTACTATTATTTACAGTAAATATAAATATTATTTTTCTAGTAATGAACTGTTACTAATTTAACTTTGAATAGAAAACTTTATGTCAAATTATGTACAGAAAACACAAGAAATTAGTTAAAACAATTTAATCCGATCATAGACAATTATAATATAACTCGTTCTTTCTGAAAGAAGTTAATGTTTACCTTTTTTTTATAGGAGATAGATTTTTTTTCATTTGCCCCATGCAAATGAGCATACGGCTCACCTGATGGTAAGTGATTATACAGCCGCCCATGAACAACTGCAACACCAGGGAAATTGCAGATGCGTTGCCGGCTTTCTAAAAAGGAGTACGCTCTTTTCTTGAAGGTCCCTAAGTCGTATCGGTCCCGAAAAATCTCTGGTGGTAGTCGATTCCACAAAGGAGATGTGCGAGGAAGAAAACTTCTTTTAAACTATTTACGGGCTCCATGATACACTAACCAGCAAAAAATCGTAGGTTCTACAAACTATTTTTCAACATGTCAACTAATCAAAAATCAGTAAAGTAGCAGCCTAGTAACCACCATATCTGACTCAGACCTAGTAACGCTCAAGACTGGTTTGTGCCAACCCATGAGTAAGCCATATTATGTTTAACAGTAGACTTATAATCAGCTCTTATGTTAATGATGATTTAAACTCATATAAAGGTGAAATACAAAAAACATAAAACCACAGAGATTCAAGCTTCATAATAAAGTAAAAAAAAACTCAAAATGTTAAAAAATGTTTAGCCTGGGTATGAATTACATAATACCTAACTCTCGTAACCAGCGAAAGTAGTGCATATTCGCCTCATATACAATTATGTTGTTTTGTATCATTATATGTCGATTTGACTCGCAATTTTGTTATTAATAACAGTCATCATGAATTAATTTCTAAGTTAAGGTGAATATCACTCCTATCGTACAAGGAAGTAAAAATCACGAAGTTGGTATTTTATTGTCATGCATAGACAATTCCCATCGCGTGATTGACAATGACAATCGTTCACAAATCTCAGATTAAACTGAAGGTGCTCCAAAGTTTCATACACACGTAATGGATATCTCAACTTTTTCCGACGTTTCTTGCGTTTCTTGAAATGGAATACAAGATTAAAAGACGTTTGACAAACGAAATTTTAATTTCTTACGTCGAAAAATAAAGTTTCATTTTCGTTCATTTTCATTTAATTCCATTTCATTTTCACTCCATTTTTTTATTGGAATATAACTGTTTTCTTTATTTCAATTATCTTAATCAATCAATATATCCTTTATTGTACACCAATACACATTAAAATCATCCACGGCAGGATTTAGTGATTATGCAAAGATTCGATTTCGAATTTAATTAGATATCGAATTGGATTAGATATTGATTATTGAAGATGATTCGGAATAGAATCCAGTATCAACACACGAAATGAGGGAAACTATAGTTTTAATAAAACGCGATATAATTTATAAAATTAGTTTTATTCAACGTACTTGGCTTTGATAAAAGAAATCATGACAATGAGCATAAGATTTTAACAATATTAACAGTAGGTATAGCTATTCAAATTTAAGTTTAGTAGATTTTACTTAATTGGAGATTATTTAAGAGTTAGTAACTTACCTAAGTTACGTTTTGTTACGCTAAGACACTTACCACCAAGTGGGATTGTAGCCAAGCGCTGGTTTATAAATGAATAAGTTACCGTTTGACACTAGACACAAGTTCAATTTTTTAACTCAATTACGCTGCAACTATCATCATCTATTATTGATGATAATACAGGCAATGATTTATGGATGGCTTCTTAAACTTATAATCACTATAATATTGTCATATACCGAAAGTTATCAAGGATACGAATTAAAATACAGTGCTTTAATTACATAAGTTTTACCGCTAACAAAAGCACTCATTCTCACCTTCCACTGTCTAATTTAAAGCTTTACGTAAAGATTAGATGTTGTGTCATAGACCTGATCATTTGTATGTAAAAGGTAATATAATATAATATGTATTCGGTGAGATTCAAAACCACGTCTTAATATTTATATAATCTTAGCACAAAGGTGATCTTTCGCCAGGCATTTTATATTATTTGGTTAAGTTATGACGCAGTTTTTTAAACTAAAGCGAGAGAGTTTCTCACTTTTTATAGAATAAGAGTGGCAAACGAGCGCACAGTCCAACTGATAGTGAATAGATGCTGCGGTCCATAGAAATCTACAACTATCCTCGATTAAGAATCAAAATGCGTTGTTATCCTGAGAACAATGATGGAATGTCTTGTTTCCAGTAAAAAGCTTCTCCGGTTCTCTACACTCATCATACGATACACAACGCTGGTATTTTGTAGAAGTGTGGTCCACCCTCGGACGAGCCGACCCATTCTTCTTGCTACAACCATAATATTTTAGCTGCAGCAAGGTTCTACCATGAAATACCACTACTTACAAATATACTACTTCCATCTCATCCTATCAGTCTTTCGATTCCGTAAACATCAATTTTGAAACTAAACACAACTCTTATTAATAATACTAATTCTTGATAAAAATTAACGCATCACACAAAATTTTTTTGTGCAAAGTGCAGCAGGACTAGCGGGCAGAGTTTCATATAAACTTAATAAATGTATGTAGGTAGTTCATTCATCCTGGGAATTATAGATATGTTAAGCGCAGAACATCATCATCATCATCATCATTACAACCCTTTATAAGACCACTGCTGAACATAGGCGTCCCCCAAGGAATGCCACAAAGCACGGTCCGGAGCCGCCTGTATTCATCCACTTCCTGCATATCTTACCAGGTCGTCACTCCATATAGAGGGGGGCTGCCCCACAATTCGCCTACCGGTACGAGGCTGCCACTCGAGAACCTTTCTTCCCCATCGGTTGTCGGTTCTTCGAGCTATATGGCCAACCCGTTGCCACTTCAGCTTACTAATCGGTTGGGCTATGTCGGTTACCCTGGTTTTACTAGGGATATCTTCATTTCTAAGTTCTGCTATTGGGAAGAACACTAAACATTGCTCTTGGAAAAAGATTGATGAGTACCTAAGTCAGCGAGTGTCAAAAAAAGGTGACATAAATAGGAGCTTGAATTCTGTACAACTCGTAATTCAATCTTATTTAATATTAAAATCTATATTAATTTTAACTTATTGTTTAATATCTCTTTCTATGAAAAGAATTTTGACAGAGGGACAGACGAACGGACAAGAAAGTGATCCTGTGGGTTTCGTTTTTTCTTTTGAGGTACGGTACCTAAGAACGACTGCTTCCTAAATACTGTTTTTTTTTAGGATAAAATCAAATACTATGTTTATATTAGGGTTATTTTTAGTTAAGACAACAGGATTTTATTTTTATTATTTAGTTTAATGACATTACCGATCGTAAACAAAAACGTTAATAATCTTGGGAATATTGTGTTAAGTGCATAAAAATGTACATAAATGACAAAAAGAAATATAGCAGTATTGATAACCTTCTCCATTTTTGAAGTCGGTCAAAAATCTAAAATAAATATTTATTATATGAAACTATTCTTTGGATGATATTGCTAACAACATATCATATCATTTCTAATTAAAGAGAAAAGTCATGTATATAATATTCATGTTAACATCATAAAAACAAATAACGACCTGATATTACCTAAGAAAAACGTGTATTACACTAATGAGTAAGACTGGTTGTTGTCTCTGAACCTGCTCACAGTAATAAGTACGGAATAAGCGAAGGTATCCGCGGAAAGTAAAAGTGGAAGTTTCAAGTCATTGCACCAACCTCATAATGTTATATGTACCTCTTCTCGTGATAAACAAAACATGCAATGAATCTGCTAGATTAAACAATATTTCATATAAAGTCTTAACTTACATGATTATCGAGGTTAGAAGTATCTGGTAAGCTTATTTCTCTGCCGCGCGTCGAAGTAACAACCAGGATCACATAAAATATTGCCACTATTCTCCATTGGCACATTGTCGTAGAGAGCTGATGCCAAGAGCGCGATATCTGGATTGCTTGACGCCACTATTTATTTGCGAGACATGACGGGCGCGCCGCGGTCACTGACAAATTCGGCGACAGCTATTCAATGGCATTATTTCGCGAACAAATCGCAGGCCGACTGTCGGCCGCGGCCGCGCGGAATCCGCTGAGTGCTGTACCGAGGTCTTCAGCCACCACCACATACTTTCACTTCGATCCAAAAACCTAATGTGCGGATCCTCCAGCCCCACCGCCGACGCTGTCGCAACGACGGCTCGATATTGATGCATTTGCACGTTGTCAACGCGGCTGCTAAGTACCAACAGATATTGATATTAAATCACTACTTACAACGAATTAAATATAGGTACATAAGATACACATACAATAGGCAAAACGCCTATCATGGTTAATGGTTTCATTTATGGAATTTCAATCATATTGCCACTATCGCGGTTCATCTACAATGAAATAATATACTATAAATACATATAAATAAAATCGAAGAATTTGTCTGTACTATCGAAACATTTGCCTTGTACCACAGAATAAATAATAGTACTTTTATTGGAAATTAGTCGCATGACATTAAGACATGAATAACCGTTTTTTGGGACTTTGCTTTGAGGTTAAGTGAGAGATACAAGTGTCGTAGTTTTTTTTCGCTTAAATTTATTGTTACATTAAGTGCTGTTGAGTCACTATAGAGTCACTATATCATAATAACATTAAAAATATAGTTTGTGACGGCGTCAAAAAAGTTGGACGAAACAGGATATCAGTTGAGTTTAAAACAGCAATGGATGCAAACACTTTTATTGATCACCCAGCTCTTCAGACTTCTAAATATGAAACAACTATCCCTTCATATAATATCACTCGTATGGAGCTAGTCAGACAAGTTCCTATAGAGTGGACATTACAAGAATTAATAGCAGCTATAGAAATTCCCTCTGGATATGGTACTATAATTAAAGCTCGCCGACTCAATAGACGATCAGTGAGTGATAGCAATAACGTTTCATGGATTCCAACTCAAACAGTAGTTCTTACTTTTTCTGGACAAAAACTTCCACCACATATTTACTATTTTTACACCTCTATGCCAGTAGAAAAATATGTTCTGCCACTCATTCAGTGTCATAAATGTTGCAGATTTGGCCATGTTACTTCTCAGTGCCGATCATCCCCTCGCTGCTTTATATGTGCACAGAATCATGAAGATTTATCATGTACTAGGCAAACTCCTGCTTGTCTATTCTGCTCAGGGCCCCACACAGCAGAAGATCCTACCTGCCCTGAACATCTAAAGCAAAAATCTATTAAACTAGTTATGTCACAAGAAAATTTATCATATTTAGAAGCTTCAACTATATTCCCTCTGCTACGAAGATCCTTTGCTGACGCAACAAGAAGTCCGCCTCGTAATTCTTCTCATCAGACCCCTTATCCTATAAATGATTTCAGCTCCTTCGGCTCAGCCTTCACGATGTACATCATATAAAAAAACAATCTTTATTCCTCAACCTACTTACAGTCAATCATCAAATTCTGGATAAGCCAGCCCATCAGGCAATTGTTGAGAACCTTCCTTCTTCCCTTCCAAATGGGTGTGCTTTACTGGGGAATGACAACATCTCAAATAATGATAACTTCTGCGAACTTATGGTATCAATGTTAATTAACATGATTTCCCGTTTCAGTGACGCAGAACTTCCCCTCAGTTTACGTCATAAACTTACTCAGCTTACTTCAATAACATTCACAATTCTACAATGGAATTGTCGGAGCATCAAACATGAAAAGAATGAACTTATCTTTCTTATTAACAAATTTAGTCCATCTGTTCTTGCCGTTCAGGAGATGTGGCTTAGACCTGACTCCCAATTTAAGATCTTAGGTTATTCATGTCTTCGGGATAATAGGAGCGATGGACATGCTGGTTCCTCTATTCTGATCTCAAAAAAAATTACATATTCTTCTATACCTCTTCCTCCCCACAGTTCCTTGATTAATGATGTTGCAGTCAAGGCTCTCAACATATCTTTTCTGTCTGTATACATTCCTGATCCTAATGTTACCATCTTAAATGAACTTTTTAATCTTATTTCTTGTCTAACTCCCCCTGTTGTTATCATGGGAGATTTTAATATTCACCATACTTCAAGGGGCTCACATCACTGCGATTCTCTATTATCTACGTTTCTAGATATGATAGACGACTTAAATCTTTGTATCCTTAATGATGGTTCTCCTACCCGCCTTGTTTCACCTTCTCAGAATGTAAGAAGTGTAGTGGACTTGACTCTTTGTTCTCCTGGCTTAGTTTCCCTTCTATCATGGAAAACATTACCAAATTCACATGGTAGTGATCATTATCCAATTTTTATCACATCTGCTGACTCTACAAGAGCAAATTCTGAATTCAACCCGAGGTTAAAATATAATTTATCAAAGGCAGACTGGCATTATTATTCTTCTGTTTTAGATCAAGCTACATCAACAATTCCTTCTTTGCATCATAAAAATGTACATTCAATCTATACGGAGTTAAAAAATACATTATCTTCTGCCAATAAGACTATTCCTTGTCGGACCAGGATTGCACATCTGCTTGTAAAAAAAGGAAAGAGGCTGAACAAAAATACTCTTTATCAATGACCATGGAAAACTACATTTCCTATAAACAAATAGCAGCTGAAACAGTGAAATTGCTATCTCAGAAGAAAAAAAACGGCTGGCATAGGTTTTGTTCTACTTTATCTCCTTCCACACCTCCTTCTCTAGTTTGGAAAAACATTAAAAAATATCGCTGTTCTAATACAGTTGAGCAGAATGTGTCTTCCAATGACCCTTCAATTTGGCTTGAAGAATTTGCACTTAATCTTGCTCCTCCTTCAGTGCCCACACACGCTGAATGTTTAGTTTTTAATTCTCCTTCTACACAATCTCTAGATGAATTTTATGCCCCCTTTTCTTACGAGGAATTATTTACAGTCCTTCAGGGTCTTAAGGACTCCTCTCCAGGAGTAGATGGGATTCCTTACTTATTTATTATTAAAAGCAGTAAGAAAACTAAAACTGTATTTCTTGACATTCTGAACCACATTTTTGACTCTGGAATTCCTCCCAAAGAATGGAAGACCCAAATAATACTTCCTATTCTCAAACCGGGTAAAGCCAGTGAAGACTTTTCAAGTTACAGACCCATTGCACTGTCGTGTACAATGGAAAAGATACTAGAAAAAATCGGTTAGAATGGTTCCTTGAGAGTAAGGATGTTTTACCGAAGAGCCAATTTGGCTTTTGAAAAAGCTTAAGCACTATGTATAGCCTCAGTACACTAGTAACTGACATCCGTATTGCTTTTTCTAAAAATGAATACCTTGTTGGAGTCTTTCTCGATATTTCATCTGCATACGACAATGAAGGAAGAAGTACTTCCTGTACTCAGGCAAAAAATGCTGAAGCTGAGTATACCAGTGAAGATAGTAAACTATATATCAAACTTTTTCTCTTCTCGGTCTATTTTAATAAACTTTCAAAACTCACTACACCCTCCCCGACATATTTGGAAAGGTCTTCCACAAGGCTCAGTCCTCAGTCCTATTCTCTATACTATCTACACTTTCGATTTAGATCTTGCAGTCAATCCATTTTGTAATGTCCTACAGTATGCAGATGATTTAACCCTATACATTTCTACAGACAAACTGACTACAGCTAATTCCTGGTTAAATTCTACCATGGAATATTTACAATGCTGGTTAACTGATCATGGTTTATCCCTCTCTGTTTCCAAAAGCAGTATAGTGATTTTTACTCGCCATAAGAATGTCCCTTATATTCCAGTTTTATATAATGGCTTACCTATTCCTATTCGGGACAAGGTAAAATTTTTAGGTATGGTACTAGATAATAAATTATCCTTTACACAACACATTGAATACATTTCTAAAAAGTGTGAGAAGAATATAAATATTCTTCGTTCCCTTTCAGGAGTGTGGTGGGGATCTCACCCTTTTTCACAAAAGCTACTATATAAATATAATGCTATAATTCGTAGTCATTTAGATTATGGATGCTTTCTTTTAGAGCCATGCAATAAATCGTCACTTAAAACTTTAGACAAAATACAGTATAAATGTCTCCGCATTATAATTGGTGCAATGAAATCTTCCCCAATTAATGCCCTTCAGGTAGAGTGTCTAGATCCTCCTCTCAACATAAGAAGACAATATTTTTCAGACAGATTCTTCTTTAAGATCTTTCAACTCTCTTCTCATCCCCTAATTCCCAGGTTACACCTCCTCTCAGAATTCTTATGTTCAAGTAGGTAGTGGCTCCATAAAGATTGTCCACATTTATTTAATAGCTTAGTCTCATTTCTCCAAATTCCTGGGGCCATTTTCTCATGCAATACAAGTCCACTCTTTAATACTCCTTTCAAAGCTATTATATATCAACCTAACATTCACCTTGACTAGGTCAAGGAATATTAGAAAAGGTTCCCCTGAAGCAGATTTAAAATTAAAAGAAGCCATAGGGAAAAATTGGAAAGATTGGATGACCATGTATACAGACGCATCCAAAAATACTGATGATGGCTGCACTGGTGCAGCTGTCTGGATCCCCAGGTTTAAAATGATCCTTAGCTTGAAGTGCCCTTCATCATGTTCCATTTTTACTGCTGAGACAATTGCAATCCATGAAGCTCTGCTATATGTTGAATCACATAGCCTAGACAAGACAGTGATCTTTAGCGATTCTAAGAGTTGTTTATCTGCTATTTTGGCTAACCAATTTCAAAGTAAATATAATTTTCCCCTAATTCTGGATATAAAAAGCATTCTGTATAGGTGTCATCTTAAAGGGATTTTGTCTGTTTAGCCTGGATACCTAGTCATAGTGGTATTTGTGAAAATGATAAAGCAGATTTGTGTGCCAAAGAGGCTACTAGAAATGGCACCCCACTAAATGTTACTTATTCC